GCAAGAAATGGAAAGAATGAACACTGAAGTACTTTTTATGCAAATTCAAGAGGAAATTGATAACAAATCAAAACAAGACATGCTGCTAATCCTGGAGACTGGATGCAAAAGCAGGGAAAAATAGACTCCAATGTTGTAGGAAAATTCAACCTGACCCAAATCCTAGGGGCATGGAATGAAGCAAAAGAAAGACTCATAGAATTTTGTGAAGCCAACAACCTGTTCCTTGCAAACACATACGTCAAGCAACCACTCAGACAATTGTATACATGGACCTCACCAGATGGAAAATACAGAAATCAAATAAATTAGGTAATTGGAAGGAGAATGTGTATTCTTGCTGGCAAACAAGACCAGGAGCAGATTATGGTAGTGATGATCAGCTCTTAATTTCAAAAATCAGTACAAGCTAAAAAGATTACCCAAAGAAACATAGTGCCAAAATATAACTTAAGGGAAATCCTTGAAGTCCACATAAAGAATAGATTTGCATTGCTCAACTTAATTAACTGTGAGCCAGAAGAACTGTGGATTGAAACCAGAGGCATTTTTAGGGAAGGATGCCAACTCCCCCCCCCCCCAAAAAAAAAACAATTCCTGTAGTAACAAGAAAGAAAAAGCCTAAGGATAACACTCACAATTGCTAAAGACAGGTGAGAAGCAAAAGCAAAAGGTGGCAGAATTCTGATTGCAACTTTTCAGCAAGTAATATGTAGAGATGAAAAGAACTACGACAGCTATCCATGCAAAGAAATAGAAGAGAACAAGTGGAGAGTGGGGAAGAGACCTCTTCCAAAAGATCCAAGAAATCAAAGGGAAATTCAAAGCTGGATTAGGAATGCTAAAAGACAAACAAGGAAACATACTATTCGACCTTGAGAAAATAAAGAGAAGGTGGAAAGAATATACAGAACTATACAGAAGAGATGAAAGGATGACGGACTTTCTTTGAAGCTGAATCCTATGAAGAAGGACTTGCAATATTAGAAAGAGAAATGAAAACTGCTCTAAAGGGACTTACAAAGAATAAAGCACCCGGAATAGATAGCAGACCAATAGAACTATTCCAAAAAGATATGTCAACAACTATGGAAAAAAGAAAACAAAACAATGGCCCACAGACTGGAAACATTCAATACATATTCCAGTCCCCAGGAGAGGAGATGCAAAAGAATGCAGCAACCATAGAACCATCACCTCACTCTCCCACACAAGAAAAGTGATGCTCAAAGTGTTACAACAAAGAATACTACACTATATGGAGCAAGAAATGCTCAAGTCCAAGACCCAGCTGGATCTGAAAATGATGGTGCACTAGAGATCGTACTGTAAACATACACCAGCTATTGGAGTACACAAAAGAATTTCAGAAAAAGATCGATTACAGCAAAGTCTTTATGTGGATCATGAGAAGCTGTGGATGGCCCTGAAAGACATGGATACCTCAGCCTTTGATTGTCCTGATGCATTACCTGTGTCATAGACAAGAAGCTACAATTAGTTTAGAATACGGAGAAACAGAATGGTTTCCCATAGGCAAAGCTGTCAGACAAAGATGTATTTTTATCTTTCGATCTGTTCAGTCTGTACAGAACATATTATGAGGAAAACTGGATTAGAATCAGAGGAAGGAGTGAAAAGTGGCAGAAGAAACATCCCCAATTTAAGAAGTGCAGATGGCACCACACTACTGGCAGAAAGCAGCAATGACTTGAAAGTGAAAGATGAAAGTACAAAAGCAGGACTGGCGCTAAATATTAAGAAAACAAAAATTGTGTCCACAGAAGAATTGTGTTTATATTTCTATTTATTCTATTTCCCTGTTCTATTTATGTAGTTGTATTTATATTGTATTTAATCCTATTATGTTTTACAGTTTTGGTTGTTATTGTTATTTATTGTTATTTGCCTTTTTAATATTGTGCTGTGAGCCACCCAGAGAGCCTTTGGCTATAGGGCAGCATAAAGTTAAAGGTAAAGGTTTCCCCTTGACGTTAAGTCCAGTCATGTTTGACCCTAGGGGGCAGTGCTCATCTCCATTTCCTAGCCGAGGGAGGCAGTGTTTGTCCGCAGACAGTCTCCGTGGTCATGTGGCCGGCATGACTAAACACCAAAGTGCACAGAACGCTGTTTACCTTCCCACCAAAGTGGTACCTTTTTATTTATTTATTATTTTATTTATTTATAACATTTTTATGCTGCCCCCATCTCAGAAAGCCTTGGGGCGGCTTACAAGGAAAAATAAACAATCATCAAATAACATTAAAAATTTTGGAGCATCTTGGCAGTAATTTAAAACCAATAAATTAAAACAGTAATTAACAATTAAAATATCGTTTGAATAAAAAGGTCTTAGCCTGGCACCGAAAAACAAATAATGATGGCACCAGGCGGACCTCTCTGGGGAGCGTGTTCCATAGGTGGGGTGCCACCACAGAGAAGGCCCTCCTCTGGGTGCTCACCCTCCTAATATCCTTCACAGAGGGCTCCCGGAGAAGGGCCTCCTCTGCCGATCTCAAGGGGCGGTCGGGCATATATGGATGCAAGCGCTCCTTTAGATAACCAGGTCCCAAGCCGTTGAGGGCTTTTTAGGTGATAACCAACACCTTGAATTGGGCCTGGACTTCAATGGGGAGCCAGTGAAGCTGACGGAGAACTGGGATTATATGAGAACAATGCCCAGTCCCCATCGGCAACCTGGCAGCTCTATTTTTTTTATCTACTTTTTTTTAATCTACTTGCATTTGCATGCTTTCAAACTGCAAGGTTGGCAGGAGCTGGGATGGAGCAATGGGAACTTACCCTGTTGTGCAGGTTCGAACCGGCAACCTTTCCATCAACCATCCCAGTGGCACAGCAGTTTAAACCATTGCACTACCTGCATCCCTATGGGACAGCATATGACTGCAATAAATAAATACAGAACTTTACTGTAAATAATGAAGAAATCAGAATTGTGAAAGATTCCACATACCTTGGCTCAGTCATCAATTCAAAGGAAGAATGCAGCCAAGAAATACAAAGAAGACTGAGACTTGGAAGGACAGCTATGAAGCAATTAGAAAAGAACATCAAGTGTAAGGACATTTTATTGGAGACCAAGGTCAAGACCACCGTGTATTCCCAGATATGGGTGTGAATGCTGGACAGTGAAGAAAGCTGACAGGAAGAAAATATATGCATTTGAAACATGATGCTGGAGGAGAGCTTTGAGAATATGCTGGACAGACAAAAAGACAAACAAGTGGCCCTAGATCAAATCAAGCCAGAGCTTTCCCTGGAAGCAAAAATGACAAAACTGTGGCTCGGTTTGAGAAGGCAAGACTCATGGACAGACAACCATGTATAAGAAAGTCAAAGGCAGAAGATGAAAGACCAGATATGAGATGGATTGAATCCATAAAGGCAGCCACAACCTTTGGAGGGCTTTCATTCATAGGGTCACCATGGGTCAAAGATGACAGAATCATAGAATCATACAGTTGGAAGGAGCCTAACAGGCCATCTGGTCCAATCACCTTATCAATGCAGGACTCAATTCACCCCTCCAGATTTCAATCCAGCCTGACCCTGCTTATCTTCCATGATTGGGCAGAATCGGGCACTTCAGGCTATATGGAAACTAAATGGCACAGCAACAAGAGTTTAATGATGCTTTAATATGGTGTATTTTATACTCTACTTTTAATGTCCTGTTGTAAACTGCAAATATTTGAAGAAATGCATGTTTTTTAAATTTAGTTACTTTTGCATGTATTTCCAGCCTTCCTCCTAGTAACTTCATCTCCTGCATGGCTGTGGTCTGCAAAGACAGATCCATTTACATTGATAAATGCAGCGGTGTTCTCTGGAATATGTAGAAAGAGCAAAGTCACTTCTCTTCCCTCTCATCTAGCTTTTGAGAAATTGTTGTCTCCATTTCAGAGTGACTACTCCTTGTTGCATTCATTTATACTGAATTTTGGGAAAAGACGTTCAGTCATGCTTCCATGTAGCTGTGGGTAAAGTAACCTTTGAATTCTTTATATATGGATCTCACCCATGGAAGCCTTAGAAAACACACCAGTCAGAAAGCTAGAGCAGCAGTGGGCAGAAGGCAAGACTCCAAATGTGTGGAATTTTAATTCCTAATAACCCCAGCCACCATGACTAATGGTCAGGAAACATGGGAATTGAAGTCTGAAACATCTAAAGATCATTGTTCTGTCCACCCCTGAGCTAGACAAGAACTGTACTGTTCTGTTCTTGTTGGCCAGAGGCAGGAAACAAACAGGAAACTCCAGACTCCACACAAATAAACTAATTCTGGCTCCATCTCACAGCACAGGGCAGGCAATGGGAATTATAGCTCTAAACATCTGGAGGAGACCATGCTGAGAAACCACATAACGACATTATTCACAGAAGACTCTTGTGCTGTGGTGTGCATTTCAGGATCCTGGTTTAAACATGGGCATATTATTGGCATACCAGTGAGCTGTGAGCACAAGGCAACCTGTTAAAAGGTGATGTCCAGATTAGGCATTGGAGAAGCCCTAGAACAGCCTCTCCAGATTCGTACCGTTCTCATGTTTGGCAAGACACCTTCCATCATTGCTGTCCTGTAGCCACGCTGGCAAGGACTGATGGGATCTGAAGTGCCAGATAACGTGGGGGGGGGAGCGGGGGACCAGGTGGGAAAAGTAGCTTTAGAGCAGAGCTACGGGCCAACGGAACTCCGTGAGGATCATTTCACCGTGTTTACAACGGAGACCGATGGCGACCTCTCCCCGCCGCCGCCCGCCGCCCCCAGCTTTCCCAGTGGTACTGCTGCTTCTGCGACAGGCCTGCTATAGCAAGGGCGCTCGGGAGAGGGCAGCAATTCGCAGCCAACGTCCCGAAAGAGGCGCCTTCTCTCGGCAAAGAGCGAGCATCCGCGGGATGCCACGGCTTTGGAAAGGCTCGCGGGAGGCGGCGCGCTCTTCGCCCGCCGGTCCCTTCGCGCTCGCCGCTGCCGCCTGACGCTGAAACCCAGCCCGGCACGTGGGGTGCGACTCCGCTCCCTCCAGCCGCTTCCAGATCGCGCCGGGAGGAAGAGGAAAGAGCCCCCACCCGGCTTCGGTCTTGGTCCCGGTCCCGGTCCCGCTCTCTCTGACCGATCCGAGGAAGGAGGCGAGGAATTGCGCGAGGCCGGCCGAGGCTCGCTGAGCTGCTTCCATTCGTACCCGGGCCGCTTGGGAACACCATGAGCGAACCACTCCGCTGATCTTCAGAGTTTCCAAAGCTGGACGAATACGGGAGTGATGGTGGGGCGTTGTTTTTGTAGCAGCTGCTCTGATCTGTGGGAAACTGCATGACAACCGAGCGCTAGCCTGACAGCACAGAAAAAGAAAAACAAACAGACCAGACCAAATGTACTTTGATTTCTTTCTTTTTATAGAGCTCCGAGGTCGTAGTGAGCCGCTCCCTTCAACTCCCAGAGAGGCTTTTGTGGCCCCTTAAAGACTGAAGGCTGCATTCCTAAAGAGACCTAACCACAGAGTAAGCTTCATTAGACAGCATGGGAATTACATCTGAGTAAACATGCACAGGATTGCATTGCGCCAGATTTAGTATATATCCCTGTATATGCTCTTTTGTGTTTGAGCATCAATGGCACCTTAGCTGTGGCATCCACTTCCATGCATCAGAGCCCCACTGCATCTTTTCAACGAAAGCTTGCAATGCCAGAGCAAAATCTGTGAATGTTTAAGATGCCACAAGATTTTGTAGCTGTGTTCACTTCAAAGGACTAGCACATCCGCCCTCTTAATGCTCTTTCTGTAATGCTTGTTGGTATTACACAACTGTGTGGCTTACTTAATTTGGAACATAAACAAGCTTCCTTGCAGCAAGGTAGACCATTGGTCTGTGCTTGGAGTCTACAGCAATTCTGCAAGGTTTCAGACATGAATCTCTCCGTACTTAGAGATGCCAGGAATTGAACTGGGGACCTTTCCTAAAGCTTGCTTTGAGCTAGCTTCAATCAATGCTTGCTGAAGAAATTAGTATGGATTAGATGATGCCTTTTCCTGGATCAAAGAACTGTGCCTGCATCAGAGCATTCTTCGCCACACCTGTTCCAAGGTGTGCAGCCTGATCCTAAGCATCTTCACTCAGAGGTGAGTTCAACAGAACTTTCTCTTTAGTAAGTAAGTGTCCTTGAGTAATCCTATCCATGCTTATTCAAAAGTAAGTCACTCTGGAATAAGTGGAAGTGTGCAAAGTATTGGGACTTTAGGTCAAGATCCTGAGTGTGGATGGTCTGTTGCTTGTGAAAGCAGGAGCCATATGCATTAAAACAATGTGGCTAAGCACGGGCATATGGACAGTTTTCAAAATGAGAAGACCATTTAGACCAGGGCTGGTTTTTAGCAACATTACATCACATTTAAATTGCATAAAATTTGACATGTTTGGTTTAAGCTGTTAGTCAGTTGCCCGAAGTGCTCAGAGAACAAAGGAGTGTCTGGGTTTAAAATTTGATTGGTAAATGCCCATTTGGCATTTCCCAGAAGTAATGGGTAGTTTAAGATGGCATGAGAAATACTGTGGGCTGGCAATAATCTACCAAATATATCATAACCATGCTCTGCCTTTCACTGCTTGAAGCACTTAATTAGCTTAGCAATCCTTACAACAGTCCTTTATGGTGAGCCTTGATTTTTATCTCCATATGGCAAACAAAGAGATGAGAGGTGATAGCTTCTCTCCTAACCCGACTGTTGTGTACCTAGAAGAGGCAAGTTGAACCAGACACTTCCTAAGACACAGCTCATGATTGCTGCAGTGCTTAGATTTCAAAGTGTGGTTTAGGAACCCCTAGGAGAATCGCAGGTGGTCTTGCAGCTGGGAAGAAGTCATAAATGCTGTCATGCAGGTCATAATCTGTCCCCTGCCAATCTGCTAGCCACATTCCCAAGCCCGGCAAATCCATGTTTGACAATGGGGGAAAGAGCCTTATGGGTATACTGTTGTATGGTGGTTTTAAGAAAGAACCTTGGCTGGACTGCTTTCACTGAAACTGGGCCTGCACCTGAAAAAGGATGTGGTGAGTAGGCATGGCAGTGTTGTGGCTGGATGAACAGGTTAAATGCATGATGAGAGTCATGGAACCATTCCTACTGAGACACAAGAGCAACAAGTTGAAGTAATGCAGAGGTGGGGTCCTCTTCCATCCTGACAGCCAAAATCACTTCCAAAGGAGCTTTTGGGGGTTGCATTCCAGTCTGGGAGGGTCTGACATGCAACTCCCCCTCCCCACAATACATTAGTTTATTATTATTATTATTATTATTATTATTATTATTATTAGAACATTTCTATGCCGCCCCTTGCCGAAGCCTCGGGGCGGCTTTCAACACAATAAAATACAATACAATACAAAAATAACAATATAAAATTAAAGTTAATAATATAAAATAAATAAAAAATATAAACGATATAAAAGAAGTTATAAAAGAAAAGAAAAGAAAAGAAAAGTCGCCCTGGCCAGATAAATAAGTAAATATTGTTAACAATTAAAATGACGTTTAAATAAAAAGGTCTTTGCCTGGCGCCGAAAAACAAATAACAACGGCGCCAGGCGGACCTCTCTGGGGAGCATATTCCATAGATTGGGCGCCACCGCAGAGAAAGCCCTCCTCCGTTTAAAGCTCTCCAACTCAGTGAGCTCTGTCTGAGGCAAGAGGCCATCATTTCAATCTCCTAGAACTTTGTATTATACCTGCCTAAAAAGCAGCCATAATATGACCAGAGTATCTAAATAAAAGTTCTGGAACACACTGAAATTAGACCTAGATGTTAATGGATTCCTGAAGACCAGGTCTGAGGAGGAAATGCTGTAGGGATTTGATGTGTATAGCCTGGAGAAGAAAGAATTAAGAGACTGAATTATGGGTATCCTCCAATATTAAAGGTGCCATATAGCTGATGGAGGCTAATTGGATTTTTTGTTCCAGAGGGGAGGATCTCAACCTCCATCTTCAAATGAAAGGACATTTTGACTAAATATTAGGAAGGAGTTCTTGATGAAACATGTTGTTTAGTATTGGAATGGATTGCTTAGGAAGATGGTGGAGTCCCCCTCAGTACAGAATTTTAAGCAGAGACTGAAAGGCTACCTATCAGGGATGTTGTAGCAGAACTTTTCCTGGATCAGCAGTGAGTTGGGCTAAATGACCTTTGAGGTCCTTTATGCTGACTGCCCAAGCAACCTCCCCTCTAGGCTGGGGTGCTCTGAAAACCCTTCTTAGGCCATTCAAGTGTTGAATGAAGACAACATCAACAGTGTACTCACTTAGGATGCAGTCCTGTACACCAACCTTGCCCAGTCTGGTGCCCTCCAGATGTTTTGGCCACTGTGAACTCCCGGCATCTGGGATGGAGGTGTTGGGAATAAGCTGAAGCCGGAGCTCCAGTTGGAGAAATGGCTGCTCCTAGCATCTGTCTTTGAGGTATTACGACTTGCACGGCCAATACTACCTTCATCTGTTGCCTTTGTCACCAATGCTACCTCTCTCATACTGCTAGAACCCAGTGGGACCATCCCATGAAACTGTCTGGTGGACGATTCAGGACAGGTAGAAGGAAGCGTGTCTTTATGCAGCACCCAGTTAAACTAAGGGATTCACTTCCACCAATTGGGATGCTTTTAAAAGGGCATTGGACAAATTAATGACTACCCATGGTCACTAGCCCTGATGGCTTTCTGCTACCTCCAGTATCAAAAGCTGTATGCCTAAGGGCGCTAGTTGCTGGGGAACATGGGCAGGAGGGTGCTGTCGCCCTCATTTCCTTCTTGTCAGTTTACTGTGGGCAAGTGATTGGCCCCTGTGTGAACCGAATGCTGCCCCAGATAGACCTTTGCCTTCACCCAGCAGGGCAACTTCTGTGCTCTTTCATCCAAAGCTTTGGAAATGGCCTTTCAACAAACCACTTCTGCTTGGACCCTGGCAGTGTCAAGAGGAAGGCCTCTTGTTGGCTGGAGCTAGCACAGAATGTTTCAAGGAGTTTTATCAGCACGAAGATCTGTTGCTCAGAAACACTTCTGTTTGTGTACCAGCTAGCAAATGCAACAAGCAATGCCATTGGGAATGGCATTCTCCCATAGACGTCTGCTGTGGAACAGGGTTAAAAGGTAGTTCTCAAAGGCATGTGTGTGTGGGTGTTTGCTGTGATGCCACCAATGATAGCTTGGCATTTAGGTTTAGTTTCAATGAGATGGAACATTGAGAACCATTAAAAAAATAGAAATATCTACCAGTGCATCTTTGCTTCTTTTAAAAGGGATGACTTTAGCAACCGTGTGCTAGAATAGCCTATTCACTGGGTAAAAAGTGGTTGCTACTAAGCAAGGCATCCATTTTCAATGCGCAGTTGGAATGTTCCACATCTTGTAAATGAATGTCTTGCTAGGAGTCTTTCTCTTTGTGAACTTAAAATCTTTTCCCATTATTTCTAAAAATAGTTGGCCTTTACTCTGCAAATAGGAAAGAATCCTAAGCTTAAGAGGCTTCTTTGTAGGAGGCAGGAAAATATCAAGGGAAACTCTGAACTGGGAAATTGTCCATTCACTGCACAGATGCCTTTTATTAAATGATACAATCTGTGTTACTTTCCTTATCCATCACATGAAAAAACTGGGGCATGAGTTAAGACAGGTTAACCTTTCACAGCCATAGGCCAACAAGCTGCAGTCCCATTCAGCAAAGTCTGTCTTTGCTAGTATTTTTGGGAATATTGTTGCAATATTACAGCACAGAATAGGGTAAGTGACACTAGCTGCTTTTTACTGGATTCATTTCTGTAAGCAGGCTTGTTGTCTTTGGGTTTATGCTCCGAAACCTGTCCCGGTACCCCATATCAAGCTGCTAGAGCATGGGTCCTCAAACTACGGCCCAGGGGCCGGATCCGGCCCGCCATGCCCATTTGGACCCACCGTGCCTGCACCCATGTGCGCACCCGCTGCCGCCCACCTCGTGTGCCCACCTTGCGGCGTGTGCCCACCCCCACCTCGCCTCCCCTCACCACACACGTGCGCCCACCTGCACCTCCCCTCCCCACACTGTGCGCCGCCCCCCGCCCCCGCGCGCACGCCTGCACACACTGCCCCTGCCCCGGCCCTGGCCCGCGCACACCGCCGGCACCACCGTTCCGGCCCGCGCCCAGCACCAGTACCTTTCAACTGGCCCCCTGGTTAAAAAGCTTGAGGACCCCTGTGCTAGAGCTTAGGTTTTCAGCACTTCACCTCTGCCTCTAACTACATTTCCTCTTTTGCCCGTCCTCACAACCCTCTCTGGTTTGCTCATTTGCTGCCATTCTCCTTCCACACCAGTCTCTAGGTCTTCTGCCCAGCTTCTCCCTATATTGGGAATGGCTTCCCCCTCTTTTGTTCACCCCCCTTTGCCCCCCCCCTTCCTCCCCATTGTGGTTACAGTCTTATCTGCACTCACCTTGGTATAAGTTCTCAGTAAACATGCAAAGGCTCACACTGCACAGGTGGCTTGAAATCCCACCTCTTAGCAAAGCATTTCCAGTGGAATATGCTGGGAAATAAGGAATGTTGATTTTGTTAATGGCTTACTTGCAGACTTCTACAGATCTCATATGTCATGTTGATGTACATGACAACTTTACACTTTGATCCAGCTATCTCCCTCTTGAACTAGTTGAAAATTCCAGTTGTTGCTCTTATCCTAGTATGTTCCCAAGGCCCTTTTTCCTAAATAACTCTCTGTTTTGCATCCAGAGGTGTTAGTGCTTCTGCAAATATCCTAAGGTAGAACCATGGCACAAGCAAGTCCCAGTCGTAGTCTTGATGAGACTTGACTGAACTCGAAACTACACTTTACACGTGAGCAGAGGGCTCTTTCCTTTTTACTCTTTCATGAGTTCCAAAATGTCCTGAAGTTAATTTTAAAATAAGTTCCCTCCAGGGTTGAGTTTTTTCAAATCACCTTATTAAGCTTAATATATGAAGTTTGGGTTAACAGATAAAGCATTAAAGATGTTGGCCATGGCCCATTTTTTCTTCTGTGAGAGCTGCTTTCTGAAGTTATATTTAGCATTTTTAATATTAAAATGATCAAAACATGAATCCTGACAAGAGTGTATTTTTGAA